GTCCCTTGCATTCTAAGGATGTTAGTTTATATGTGAACCAAAATTGGCTAAATATCGGCAAATAAAGATGTAGATTTAGTGAAACAGTAAATAAAAAAGGGATGAAGACTGACTAATATTTAGAGAAAAATTATAGAATATTACTTTATTCACAACATGATCTGAGCTGATCATCAGTAAACATGAAAAATTAGACATAAGCAACGTTTCGGATGACCAGATCTCTCAGACCTTAAAGAAAAGCTCAGTCGATTGAGAGCGACGATAACAGGTTAAAAAACATAGACAAGGTACGTTCCTCTAAGTCTTCCTACCAATATGACCAAGTTGCGAAAACAAGGTCAAACATATTCTATACAACGAAAGGAGACTGCGACCACACAAAAGGCCACACCATCTTGGCCTCATATCTTCGATTAAAAACTTAGAGTTCGCCTTACAAATAAATGGCCAAAGAAGTTCAAGTCTAAATATACAGACTACACTAGCACTTAATCTTGGCTAACTATTATATTATAAATATAAGATCTATTCACCATATTTCGTTTAAGGTGATGAAGTACTGGTAGTAGAATTTTTCCAAAATTATATGAGTAGAGCTGACGTTTCCATTTAATTTCAAATAGCCTTATATCATGGCCCTGGTCATAGGCCAAAAAATCGCCCACAACTCGAAAGCCGTCAGTTCTCTGAAATCCATTAAAAGATGACCTACTTTCAGGTAGGGATTTATTGAAAAGAGCTTCTGGGTGCACAAAACTTCCATTAGGCGACAGAAACTTCGAGCTTCGCTATTGCAACAAATCTTTACATAATTTTACATATTTCTTCTAATGGGTACAACAAAAAATTAATAGACTATCATGTCTTATTCGTCTTTATATTATTAAAGGAGTTGGAATAAAAATTTAAATAACGGTGACTGTAGATGAAATAGGACGAAGCGCTTTCAAATGAGATTCAATGATATTTCCGACCTTAGTGTTACTACCATACTAATCACAAAATGGCCAGGAAATCGAGAAAAAAATGCCACTGTCACGTCATGCTAAAAACTTTATATAAGACGCACCAGTTTTTTGCTCAGTAGCCAGTGTTCATAATGGAGGATTACCGACTGGTCTGGGTCCTCAACCCAAACCCAGAAGCCCAGCTGGCTTCCATGCCAGCGATCCAACCAGATAAATTCATCAGAAAGCCGAAGTGTAAGACGAAGGCGAAGGATGGTGCGTGTAATTGGCTGCATTTCGACCTCAGTTTGCACTATTGGCAGTAAACAGGCGAGACGGCGTACAGTGTTAGCACCATCCATACCACGGTAACGAATAAGTCCATCTAAATAAGAAAAGGTAAACGTATGTTTCAACTTTGAGGGAAATAACTTTCTAGCCTGATTACCCATATTCTTAAGAATATACAGTTGGCTTTTGTTGAAGAGCATTACAGCGGAGCCCCTAGTGTATCAGATTGAATTAATAGTAGTCCTTTTTCACATAAAAATGAGGTAACATCATAATTAGAGTACCAACAAAATCTGCCCAAATGACGAATATAGGCTTCGCAGTGCCATTTATCTTCAGGCACTTGCTTAAGCCTCCGATTTGCTCATCACTTTTGCGATGTCCCAAGGTTGAATGTTAACGGGCTCTTAGACAAAAACGGTACTCACCCTATTTCTTTTAAGATGATAAAGGACAAATAATTGAATTTTCCCACAATGATATGAATGGGCAGAATTTTTCCATTGAATTTCAGATATCCTTGCTTACCAAAAGGTATTATCATCCCGAGTGAAATGTAGATTCAACCTCGCCGAAGTCCTATCAGCAGGACTCGAACTCGGCTAGTGCCGCGTAAATTATCGACACGCTAACTACCATTCCACACTACTCCGAGTGCCCTTGTCTGTAATAGGCCATAACCAGATAGAGCATAGCCAGCTTTATCATTCTTCCAAGAGTTCAACTTCTCACCAATAGGATTAGGAAGCCAAATAAGATCTGATTCGATTGTAGGAACTAAAATTTAGTTCTACATGCGAAGTCATCCTGGCGCTTATATCGTCAAGAGAAAAAAAAGCAAGCGAGGTTAATCAGGCTATGGCGACTATGCTGATTGACTTATGGTTAATCCCACTACTTTGAAATGTAGAAGATATTTATTTTTGGTACAACACAACTTCCGGAAAAAAGATTCTAAGAAATGGTGATAAAAAAGTAATACTAGATATAATTTTTTTTGGGACAAAACTTAGGTTATAAGTG